AGAACGCGGACAGAACAGAGGAGAGAGAGAGTAGGACTGAATGACTGATGCTCTCTCTCTCTCTCTCTCTCTCTCTCTCTCTCTCTCTCTCTCTCTCTACCTGGGTGTATTTATTGCCGTTTGAACCGAGTACGGATGAACACGTATAGGCGGGAAGATGGAACTTTTGGCCCAAGTGTCGCTCTTTTATGGAAAACAAGGAGGGAAAATCCCTATATTTTTTCAATTTTTATTTTTGTTCAAATCAAGAGATTCATAGTGCTTAGGTGCAATGATTTTTAGTAACCTATTGGATTTTTTGTGTGTGTAGATTTTGATGAAGAAATGATGGATCGAATTTTATAATTTAGAGTTATTTTTAGGGCAGTGAATATGGCGGGCTAGATTTTAGTTTGATTATTGTAAAAATTAAGCGGTTGTTGTAAAGTTAAACATGTGCAATTGAACTAGAGAAAATGAAATTCAATTAATACGGAAAGTAAGAATATGAGTTTTCGGGAATATGGATATGGCGGACTGAACTTTAATCTGGTTACGTAAAAGTTTAATGGATATTGTAAAGTTAAACCTCTGCAACTAATCTGGAGAAAATGAAATCCGACCAATATGGTAGGGAGGAAGATGAGTTTTAGACGGTCGGTCAGGCACGAGAATCCATGCAAAAACTCTGAAGGTTAAGAGCTGATATCCAGCTTTCGTAAGATTTGTTAATGAATTTAAAAAGTGGAAAAATTAGCTTTAACTAGTCGTCAATGTACAGAGAGGCCATGCAGAAAATATTGAAGAATCCGTTTTGTGATTTCAAAATTTATGGGATAACGCTATTTTTATAAAAGTCCAATATTATACTTTATTTTAATGCAAATTACTTGTTTAGGCATCACGGTAAGTATGAAGGATACGAACAAAGATGAGTCTCGAGTTTTGAGATAGAAAAGAAAGCCAACTAGTAGAACGTTGACATGTCAAAGAGGAATCAATGTTTTTTTTCTCATTAAGTTGGAACTCGAGATTCATGGCAGTCGCAACACAAATTATCTAATAGCTAACTAGTTATTATTACTGTAAGAAAATTGTCGCAACTGTCAATAAGTAAATTTGCATGTTAATAGACTAGTTTAAAATGATAAATTTTCAAAATTTTCTAGCTACCAATATTCATCATTGACAACTCAAAAAAAGTATGCAATATATTTTCTATGAAAGGATAACTTACCCTGTTTAGAGAAATTTTATTTTCTATAAAAGTATGATTTTTTTTTTTTTTTTTTCAATCTAAGCATATCCTAAAGCCATTGAACCTAATAATTCAAAACTTGTTGAGCATATCCAACAACTTTGCATATCCGCTGAATAAGATTTCCACACCTAACACAATCATCAAGTTTTGTAGTAACACACACGGTTGCTCAAGGCTAGAAGTCGGACACCAATTGGGCCCATGTCTGCATACTTGAGATAGTTTTCGGTCTTGTATGCAAATGCAAAGCCCAAACATGACATGGGCTAACCAGAAGCCCAATTACCACCACAAGGTCATGTGTTTATAAACGAGAAAATATATGGTACAATAGATTTTTTAATGTACTTGAAACATAAGGCAGTACATCACGTATCGTAATATAGAAATGGGACATATCCACTTATACTGTACATGTAGTGTGCCGCCTTGTGGTATTGTGTTATGGATACACATCAAAATTTATCATTTGACAAAGAACTTCGGTATCAAGGTTCCCATCTAGCCAATAACACACAATGAGTACTCTGATGCATTCATGGTACCACAATAGACTCGTGTGGAATTTAAATGCAGGAAATTTCTCAGTGTGTTTCTTAAGCAAACATGCAACATGACATTGAAACTCTCGCCCGGTAATCTCTCCATAATGTCGAAGAGCTGCCCCAAATAATGAAAGGTGGTTCGACTTTAACACCACCAAACAAGGTGTCAAAGTTGATTTGAGAATGCCAGGTGGGTTGTGTTGAAAATTTGGCAAAACCTTTGGCCCCCCAACTTGGTATTTTGGGCGACCCTTTTAGTCGCCAAAAAGCTCTATAATTGAGCCACGCTTTCATCTCATTTTGTCATGTGGAGGCTTAAGCTTTGAGGCACATGACAATGCGCAGTCAACATCATTGCATGGAACGAAAGAGGGTGCCTTATGCTTTGTGGCTCAATATATATATATATATATATGTACACATATGCCCCACTTGAACGGCTAAACCCATCATCTCATCTCATGAGTTGGAGCTTCTAACATGTTAGCTTAGCTTTCCTATCACTTTTTCCCCCATTTTTGTTTTTTTTTTTTTTTTAAAAAAAAAAAATTTATGGCTAAAAAGGAAAATGATATCTTGTTTGATATAATAATATTGGTCAAGTGAAGCAAATAAATTAAACTAAAAAATACTAGTCCAAAACATTGCATATTGAATGTTTCTTTGGGTCATGTAGAGTATATACATATAGGACATAGAGTTGTCAAGTATTGGACAAGGAGTAGAATTGCCAATGGTTTGCCTTTAACTTATGCTCGTGGTGTGTATCTCTTATGATTTAGTAATAAGGAAAGTTATGTCATACGATTACAAATGACGTATGAAGACTTTCATAATCGTGAGCCATTAAATAAGCATAACATACTATTTTGGCTTTTTGGTCAAAATAGTCATTGAGATTAACATAACTTTTCACTTTGATCCTTGAAATTTAAAGTCAATAGAAGTGGTTCATAAGATTGTCCACCGTCAAACATTTTGGTCATTCCATGAAAAACCTTCTCAAATTGAAGAAACCAACAGTTCAAGTGGAGGGGTTAATTTGACAAAAATACCCTCAATTCAATGTGATTATGAATAGTGATTGCTATTGGATCACAATTCGACCAAGGGTATTCAGACGACCAAGTGGAATTGCTCTTAATAGTAGTGAACTAGAATAATAAGAAATTGGCTAGGCTTAAAAGTGGGGCTTTCATCTTGCAGAGCAATTAATCGGCGGGACTAGGCAACGCTCGCTGCCAAACAAATCAGACGCGCAATCTCGAGCGTGACGGTTGGAAAAGGCCAGCCAGATGCACGCAGCGGAAGAATAAAAAACAAATATAAAAATGCATAACACATTCCTTTTCTTATTTATTTTCTTCTGATATGATGGTATTAAAGGCCGTTTAATCTGGCGCCAAATGGAGGTATCGTGCGCCTCAAAAGCAACTGTCTCTGAGCTGTTCGTTACGTGAGACAACGACAGTTTTCTGGTTTTTCTTTCTTTCTTATTTTTCTAATTTCCATCATATCTTTTCGGATTAACTATATTTCACTCTTTAAATTTGTGGTAATATTCATGATGGATCGAGACGTTTTAATTTCTCTTATTTCAACATAAAATTTTGAAATGTATCAAATTTATGCCTTTCGTTTGATTCATTATTTAATTTTTTATTTAAATCGATGATATGATAAACATAAGAAATATATATATGAGCTAGTTAACGTAAAAGTCACATTTTTATTATCTCTACTAATTAATAAAACACTCGTTGTCGACTAAAATATTATGAAATTACTAGTTTAACCCTATAATTAAAACATAATATGAATAAGAAATGTGGGGCATAAATGTAATTTTACACAACCAAATTTTGTTTTTTTTTTCGAAGCATCACCTACATGTAATTCTAACATATCTCTAATTTAAAAAAAAAAAATTCTCTCTCCCACGTTCTATCACTCATTTCCTCTCTCCTTCTATTTCAAAAACAAAAATAAAAAACTTTCTCACACACTTTGTGTATGCCTATATGCTAGTATTAACAAAAAAAAAAATCATCAATTTAATAAAAGATTAGATATCCAAACAAACAAAAATTATACAAAAATTAATTTTCGGGTGCAATGTGAAAAGTATAAAATGTAATTAATTCTTTCTTTTACTGTTTTGGGTGATGTGAAGGGGAATGGTAACAAAAAATATGGAATATCTAATAAATGACAAAGGAGTAGGAAAATGACTGGCTATGGCTAGCAAGATGACGAGAGAATATTTTCTAATTTTCTAATTTGTAATTTTGAAGAGATTTGGTAAATAGTAATAAATAGGTGGTGCCACTTAATAGTTGTCACATTCAATTTTGTGGGCCGAGCAATTTGTATATAAAGTCAAGCTATATAGATTAGATGCTACCAATGCACATGGTTAATGTCTACTTTCGCAATGCCTTTTATTTATTTTTGTTTAATTTTTTGAGTTACCTAAATTTCTAAACTTGAGAAATTCATAAAGTACATAAACCCATTCGTGAAAGGTGCCACCAATTATTTGTCTGGAAAATAATTCTACCTGTGTTTAACATATTTTGTGCCCCGATTTTCACGTAAGATGATTGGAGACGGAACTGAACTAAGAAAAATTGACATGTATGATGTGCCGTGTACATTAGGAGACATTCATTTGTTCACACTGTAAGCTGCATGCACTATTTCTATTTTCATACGACTTGAGCCAAAAACCTAACATGTGAATCTCGGAGTACATGAGTAAATGCTCCAACCACTTAAGCAACAAACCTCTAACATGTGCATACGGTAACTAACTAAAAGAAACTCTCGTTGAGCTGCCAACAATTAGTTGTTTAGCAAGAATAACGTATTAAGATCACTATTTAACTAGCACTTAGTTGTGTAGTTGATCACTTATATGCCGTACTTCTTTAACCAACGATGTTCTAACTAAGATAATAATTAGGTATCAAACATTTAAGTATGTCAAACCTAAGATCTCTTACTTATTAATGAAGATTAAAAACCATTAGACTATAATACTTGGAATACTTTTGTGACGAACTTAGGCACATGGCTGCGTTATTAGTCTCGGCTAGAAATGTAAATAAGACTAAAATATTACTGAAAATTTAGACTTAAATGTCAAAATAATCTCCGTGTTATAAATTATAACTATTTAACCTATTAGGCGTTGTATTTTTAATTTGGCCAATTTTAGTGAAGACGTGGTAGAAGATGGAACCTTTCCTTTCTGGTCGTTTATTCCGTTCCAGCAATACCAAGGTAGGACCTTTCTCTGTTCCACATTATTCTAATCATTCAAGATATTTTTACCATTATTTTATCAAACGATCCAATCGTACTCAACTTCCTCCCTCGTATCTTTGAATTTCCCTATGCCTTCTTGTTTTTTCCTTTCCGAAATCTCTCTCGCTTCTGTTTGCAGCAGGAAAAAGACTTTTTCTCCATCGTCCTAAAATTTCCCATTCACTGTTCCCATATAATTCCATCGCGAATCATAGTTTGCTTTCTGAAACCTGACATTCCTGCTGGTCTCCCGCAGCGTCAGAAGCCCAGTCGGCGTGTTTGGTTGCCGAGAAAACAAGCCCAGAAAACGGTAAGAAAAGTGCTTTACTTTGAGTTCAGGATTTTTGGCCCTGCATTTCTCAGAGCTAAACTGTTTCTGGGTTTTCTGTGTTTAATGGTTTTGAATTCAAAAGTTTAATTCTTTCATGTTTTTGCCTGTTTAGTCAAAGGGTAGTGATTTTCGCACCCTCGTTTTCTCCTATCCTCAGCGCTTCTCCACTTGTTTCTGTCCATTGATTTTGTTTTGATTAATTTGAGGAGTGCATGGAGAGAAAATGAGAGTGCAAGAATCATTGCCGTCTCAAACTGATTTGGGTGGTGTGGTTTCAGAAAATGTGCATTTATGAAAATGCTAAATTCTATTGCTTGTTAATTTGGTTTTTCTAAATTTTTGCACCTGATTAATTTTGTTGGGATTAGATTTACCATCTCTCTCTCTCTCTCTCTCTCTCTCTCTCTCTCTCTCTCTCTCTCTAGGTTCTTAACCTTTTGGTTGCAGGAAATGCAACTGAGATATTGAATTCCTGTTTAATTATTGCTCCATTATTTCAACAACTTTTGTATATTTTGCTGTAAAGTCTGCTTTCTGTAGTGATAAATAATCCACAAGGAGAAAACTTTTGGTTGGTCCATATGTGATGGACCTACATCAGTTTATTTAATCAAATGGCTGTTGATCAGCAAGTGAAATTCAGGCTTTCTTCATTTTGCAGGTTATATCCGGTTGTTGCGGTGTCACCGTGTTCTTTCGGTGTGTAAAAGGCGTTTGATTCGGGTACGAATGGGGTGAGATATAGAGAAGTGGAAAAGGGAATGACATCCTTCTGGTAGATCCAGTGGCTGCATGGGAGGCTTATTGCACCTTTTTGATTTCAACCAGGGCAGCATGGCCAGAAAGCTTTTTACACATAAGAAGCATGATGGCGGTGAGTTTTTACTTTTCTCTCTGCGCAACAAGAAAATTTAGGAAGTTTGTGGATGACACGAATAATTCTCTTTCGAACAATAACTGAGAAAAAAACTTTGTATCTCTCCGCTGACGAATGAAAATAACTTGAACAGTTGAGTTGTTTGTGTCAATTTGCTTATTCAGCTGATGAAGTAGGTTGTTTTGTACATATTGCAGGCCTTGATGCTCCAAGAAATAGCCTGGAGATGCAGGTAGATCCTCAGAGCTATTGTGACACAGGAGATTTGCCGGTAATGTTTCATCACATGCCTTCTTGTAGCTTGTCCTGTGGCCTAGGGTGGCTAATTTCTGTGGATTCTGTGCTCTCTTAGCTATGAAGATGTGGAGTTTTCGGTTATTGCATTAGCAGAATCTGATTTCTTGTAGATATCAGGTGATCTTGCTTTATATATTAACGCCATTCTCATATTGTGTTTTCTTCTACCAAATTTCATCACATCAGAATTTTTGAGTCATCTCTCTCCCTATCGCTCTCGCTCATCGTATTTTAGTTTTGATGAATTTTCATTACATGTATCAGGTTGAAGAAAACTGGTCTAGAAAGAATAATCCATTGGAAAGTTCAATGAAGAAATTGATTAATGAGGAAATATCCAAACATTCGAGTACCAGACAAAATACACCAAACATCGTGGCCCGACTGATGGGGATGGATATGTTGCCAGTGGAACCAAAATCTGCAGTTGTGGAAGAAAAAAGAGAAAATAGGAGAACGAAGTCTTCAAAGAAGGAAATGAAGGGAAGGAGCTCAGTTGGTCGCGTCTCTTCTAACTTAAATTCCTCCAAGCAGATAGATCTTGATTCTTATTACCACAGTAATGACAGAGATGCCACTAGGTGGAGCGATGAACAGAAAATCGAAAATCCAAGGCGTAGAGAACATCCTCAAGAGAAGGAACTACAAAAGTTCAAGAAAGAATTTGAAGCATGGCAAGCTTCCAGGTTTAGGGAATGCTCAAGGTTTCACGAAATTGATAGCGACCTCAACGAAGAAAAGATGGCAGTTTCAGGGCATAGAACAACTCAGACAACTTTAGAACGTAAGGATCATGCAGTAAAAGAAATCTCACATGAAGAAAGTGATTTGCAACATCGAGGAAATGAGTTTTCGGAATTATTCCCAGCTGAGCAGAAGGGATCTTTTTCTTCAAGAAGCAAAAGAACCATGAGCTTAGACTTTGAGCAATCTTCCCTGGTGAGTTCTAAGAAGAGATTTGAGTCATTCGACGCGTCTTCTCCTCCTACAAGGATAGTTATCTTAAGACCTGGTCCCGATAGACTTTGCAACCATGAAGAGGCTTGGACAGGTTCTTCAAACACTCTAGAGAGGAAAGGTGGCATAGAAGATTTTCTCGAGGAGGTGAAAGAACAACTAAGATGCGAGCTGCAAGGGAAAATGCATAAAAGGGGTTCTGTTGTCCGAGGAAGTGGAATTGAGACCCCGTTTAGCGAACAGCCATCATCTCGAAAGCAGATTGCTCGACACATTGCAAACCAGGTCAGGGAAAGTGTGACTAGGGACCTTGGCATGAATTTGCTGAGATCAGAATCGACAAGATCATACAGAACTGAAATGCAGTTCAATGCATCAGGTTCCCCGGAATTTATGCATAGAGATACTAAAAGAATTTTGTTAGGGAGACTGAGAAATGTTTCAAAAATAGAAACAGAACTTCATGATCCTTCATTAGTTTCCGGGAGATCTAGGTTATCTGCATTAGACTACGAAAGGGAAAGGGGAGTAGTGAAAGATGAACATGAAAACACAAGATCATTCAGACATGGATCACATGGAGATGAAGTGCTTGATAGAGAGTTGTCCCCTAGAAACCTCATTAGGTCCTTATCCGCCCCAGTACCCGGAACATCTTTTGGGAAACTTCTTCTGGAGGACCGTCATGTTTTAACCGGTGCTCACATTCAGAGGAAGCATGAAGGCATTGGACCTGTGTCCATGGAGATGAAACATCAGAAGAAAGAAAGGTTTAATTTTAAAGAAAAAGTTTCCAATCTCCGATACAGTTTTATGCTTAGGGGGAGACTTTTTGGCAAAAAAAATCAATCAGTTCCGGAATCACGTCATACTGAACGGTATCCTATGAAGGATATCATGAGCGGGCCAACAGTGATTACGAACTCTGGAGAGAGACATGTAAGCAGATACTTTATCTGATCTATTCATTTTACTGAGAATTATTCATTATTTAGAGGGTTCAATTTATATTTATCTTAATATCTTCCTTTGTTGTCTTAGGATAATTTCACCGAGGTGCCTCCTAGTCCTGCATCTGTATGCAGCACTGCTCGGGAAGAGTTCTGGAGGCCAACTGATTATCTTAGTCCAATATCAACTCCGAGTGCAACTCCACGAGAAGATGGTATCGTGCCACAGGCTTTTAGGGACATCAGCGATAATCTGAGTGGTACGTATGTTTCTTTGAATGCTTTCTGTACATGTTTTGTTCTGGCATGACAAATGCGTTGATAGTATGAACGCATACATGCTTAGTAAACAGTCTACCCAAAGTTGTTTTATGCGACTGTATAGGCGTATATGTGCCTGTGTTTATGTAGCATACATGACTGTTGCGTCGTTCCCAATTTTGTTGTTATCAAGATGCATATAATTCCAGAGTATAAACTGACACGTGAATAATCATCTAATTGTCAAACATCGATTTTACAGAGCTACGAAGGCAACTGAACCAACTCGAGTCTAATGAGCCTGAGGGGATTAAAGTTGAGGAAGCGGTTGAGTCTGAAATGGCTAGGTTAGACAACCCAGCAGAGGTTTACATACGAGATTTGCTTGTCGTTTCTGGTTTGTACGATGGATCATTTGATAAATCACTATCGAGATGGGACACATTTGCGAAACCAATCAGCAACTCAGTGTTCGAAGAAGTGGAAGAATCGTATAAAAACTTGGCCAACAAGCAAGATCCTTCAGCAACAGATCACAATGAGATGGTAAATCACAAGGTGTTACGCGATTTGTTGAACGAAGCTCTTTCAACAGTTCTCGGACCACCAATAAGCATGCCAAACTTCCGGAGAAAAATGATCAACTCCTCTGCGCTGCCACCATTACGTGGCAAGAAGTTGTTGAATTGTGTGTGGCGAATCATCTGCGAATGCCTATATCCTCCAACTAATGTATCCTGTTACTCACTCGATGATATGGCCGCCCGGGAACTTGGATCAGGTCCTTGGTCCGGCTTGATGGACGAGGACGTTAATGCAGTGGGACGAGAGATCGAAAGCTTGATCATGGGAGATCTTGTTCAGGAAATTTTGTATGATATGCAGTTATTAATGGATTGAGTACATATATTGGAAGGAAGTAAATATGTTTGTGTTTATATATATAAGTGAGTGTTGATGGGAGATTATTGCATGTCTTTTTGTATATATATGTGTTCTTTGTGGTTTGTGAGATTAGGAGATATAGGTTGGGTGGTTGGAGTTATACTTAGTGTGCGTTTTGGTTCACGTTTTTTGTTTGTCCTTTTGAATTTTCATATCCAATTTGTTGGGGCATTTTGTTTGGTTTTATGTTCTCTAACAAATAGAAAGTTTTATAACATTTACAAGTAGAATATGATTATTGTGTATTGCTTTCAACACTGTGAAGGCCTGTCATGGCATGCTTACTAACTTGAAATGAGTAATGGAATTAATTTTTATTTTTTTTGTGTTTGCCGACACATTACAAGTCTACAACAGTGTGGATTCTTTGTTATAATTTATGATTAATTCAATACATAAAAGCATGAATTAAATTAATAATGGAACTAGTTAATCCTTTACTTAAGATTAATCATATTTTTGTCTCTTGCCCTTTTTGTTTCTTCTGTCTTGCATCATTTTTCAAGACACACGGCGCTCAAATGATTGAGTATTTGTTCTTTCACTCGAAGTAATGTTCGATTTCCCTCCTCACGACTATGAATTTTCAACTTAATAGATAAGATTGATCCCACTCTTCTTACACTAACATGACTTGTCCATCGCTTTAACTTGAGCTTAGCAGCCCATGACGGAAATGAGTGTTGAATTTAGCACCAAAAGTTGAACCAATTGCTCCTTTTGCCCAAACGGCCGAAACACTTTCTTGGTCAAAATTGGGAACTTGGATCTATAAAAGGTAATAAAACACTATAAACAGCAGAAATCCACTAGGGCTTGTAAATGGCAAATCCAATTATTTGAAACCATCAATTGTTTGGACTCCCCAACTCAGACCCACTAAAGAAGAAAAGTTACATGTTAAATGAGATCAAATCTACAAGTTGGAGGGGCACATGCCATGTCTCCTAATCATGCTAATTGTCCCATTAATTATTCAACATTAGCTTAATCATCCTTGATAAGCAGGTGCGCGTGTTTACGTGTAATTGGTACTAATACTATGACCTTAAATTTTATGTGATTGTGAATGTTTGTTTACACTAATCTAATAAGTCAATTTCTTTTTGGAAAATTGATTAGGGAAGAGAAATGATTAACACAAATACTCCATCCATGCATGCATTAGGCTAAGTTTTAATTTCAAAAATGGCAGCATCAAAACATGGATTATGTTCCAAATACACTTCATTTAGATTTCAAATGATTATATCTTGTTCTATCATGGCACACATGAATTTTGGATCACATTCAAGTGCATGCGCAGCATGTAAACACGCTTTCAGATACCTATATGGTGACAGGTAGCCAAGCTCGTACAAAGTTCAACTCTCTTGGACAGCAAATTAAATTATTATATCCGGAGATTATGTAGCTTATCCAAATTCATTAGTTCAAATATATCGTTGTATGTATATTATAGTTGGAAGTAGTATTAAGCAATTTTTATTTGACTAGCAAATTTAGAACTCCTTTTAGGAATTTGTAATAGTTTTTGTTTACATATTATAATTGGAGGTCGATTATGAATTCAGGTTGTCATGGGGTTCAAAAATTTCCCAAATAAATTGGATTGTTTTAGTGTTTATTGATCTTTCTTGATCAACTGGTTTGTTTGACCGCCTGCTAAACTCATTGTCCTTTATTTTTCAATTAGGTTTTCATAGACAAACATATCAAGTGTTTCATCGCAGTGTTGATCATAGACGATATAAGGAAAACAAATAGCATATCAACAAAAAATTGGCATTTTAGCCAAAATAGTTATTGAGATTAGCATAACTCTCTACTTTGATCTCTGATAATTAAAATCAACAAAAGTGGCTTCTAAGGATGTCATTCGTCAATCATTTTGGTCATTCCGTGAAATATATTTGTTAAATAAGGACTAAAATAACAAAAATACTCTCAATTTCATCGACAATGCGCCAAAATGATTTGACAAAAATTAAGAGTACTTTTAATGAAGGTTTTTCATGGAAGAGCAAAAATGATTAATGAAAGATAAACTCAGGGAGTAGTTACATCGATTTTAAATTTCAAAAACTAAAATAAAGAGTTATAATAATCTTAGAAACTATTCTAATTGAAAAGTCTAACCAATTACTATTATAACAATCATATATGTTCATTATTTATTATGTGGTTAATTTTCATCAGTTACTGTTTATATTCAATTTTAAATAAAAAAATTTATAATAATTTTTCACCATACAATGTACATGTACGATAAACGAATATGATTGAAGGATTTCTGAAATCTTCAAAAAAAAAAAGAAAAAAAAAAAAGAAAAGAAAAGAAGGAATCCTCTCTCCAAAGTTCTGACATGAAGAAATCACTAATGACAGAATACAGTAGCAGCCAGAACAACTGTACAAGTACTTGACGCTGTAACAGCGGTGCTCCAAGACAACATTCATTTCCCGTTCAACTTGCCCTCTCTGATGGTACCGGGGCCTACCATCACTTATCATGGAGTAATTTTTAGGATTAAGCACAAAAAAAACCTACTCAACTTTTTTTGATATTCTAAATTAGTCTTAATTTTATAAAATATTTTATATAATTACTTAACGTTTTTAAAATTAAACATTTGGTGGGTCACCGAAGACTTTACCAGCATTAAGTTATGACATTATTAGCATTAAATGAAGAGGTGGACAAATACTAAAGTTGGTTTTCACTAATAGACATTTTTTAAGTTTTAATTCCTCAAATTGACTCATTTTAGCCAAGTTAAACCATAATTTTTTTAGCTAAATAACGTCAATTTGAAGATTCAAATCTTTATAGATGACTTTAGAGTTAAAATACGTTTAATATTTATTCATGCCATCACTAAATGCAAGTGAACTAATAGATATTTATTTTTCAAAACTTTAGATAATTAGTTAAAATATTTTAAAATGTTAGGACTAATTTGAAATCATCCTAGAAATTGGGCAGCATACAAAATTAACCCTAATTTTGAATTACCATTAGAGCAAGTCCAGCGTATCAAGGCCCCATAGGGCAACTTCCTATTGAATAGCCTCCAGTGAACAGTAATTGCCTTTAATGAACAATAATTGACTTTTGCATCTCCATCCGTAAACTGAATAGACATGACAATAGACAATAAAATATTAATATTTTTTATTTTATAAAATAATAAAAAAATAATTTTATTTGTAATTTCGGATAAAATTTTTAATCGGTCTTGTTGTACCACTTGTCATTAAATAAAAAATTACAACCCAAAGTATTTGAGAAAACATAAAATTGTGTTGTAAGTTGGAAGATAATGATAGCATATTTTGTCACATCCCGGCCCGGGGCGGATCACTTCCCGGGCCCGCTCCACCACAATAGCACGATATTGTCCGCTTTGGGCTTACCATTCCCTCACGGTTTTGTTTTTGGGAACTCATGAGCAACTTCCCAGTAGGTCACCCATCATGGGATTGTTCAAGCCCCCTTCTCGCTTAACTTCGGAGTTCCTATGGAACCCGAAGCCAGTGAGCTCCCAAAAGGCCTCGTGCAAGGTAGGGATGAGAATATACATATAAGGATCACCCCTGGGCGATGTGGGATGTCACAATCCACCCCCCTTAGGGGTCCGACGTCCTCGTCGGCACACACGCGACCAGGGTTAGGCTCTGATACCAAATTGTCACATCCCGGCCCGGGGCGGATCACTTCCCGGGCCCGCTCCACTACCATAGCACGATATTGTCCGCTTTGGGCTTACCATTCCCTCACGGTTTTGTTTTTGGGAACTCATGAGCAACTTCCCAGTGGGTCACCCATCATGGGATTGCTCAAGCCCCCTTTTCGCTTAACTTCGAAGTTCCTACGGAACCCGAAGCCAGTGAGCTCCCAAAAGGCCTCGTGCAAGGTAGGGATGAGAATATACATATAAGGATCACCCCTGGGCGATGTGGGATGTCACATATTTATAGAAAAATTAAATCAAATTTTTTTTAAAAAGAACTTTTATTGATTTTTTACATTTAAAAAAAAAAATTATTATTAATTTTTTACTTTTTTTTAATTAAAATTTTATTAAAATTTTATAACGTGGTTGATGTCACCATGACGTCAGCCTTGCATCAGCTCGCCTTAGGCTCTCGGACTGTGGATTCCTGCCTCCCCTCTCACTCAGGCTTCCCCTGAGCCCAATCGCCCTCATGGGCTGGAGCAAGGAAGGGAGGCAATTACAATTAAATGATCCCCGGTCCATCGGGACATCACCCCACTGGACTTGCTCTTAACAAAGAGAAAACCCGAGTAAATTCCTCCAAACCTTTTTGTTTTAGTTAATGTTATAATTTGATAGATCAAATTTGAAGGCATGTTTGATTAAAAAAATAAAAGAAAACTGTTTTGTGTTGTTGAAGGTGAAAATAATTTTTGTTTTGATAAAATTTTATTAGTATTATCATTTCTAACAAAAACACACTTTCTTCAAAAAAATATTATTGGTAGATTATAAGTTCATTTGAAAGTGTTTTTAAAATGACTAAAATTTTTTTTATTAAAAAGATTTTGGAGTTCCAAAAGCATTTCAAATACTTTTTTAAGATTTACTTGCATTTTTACTAAATATTAATTTCATAAGTATTTTTCCTAAAAGCTCTTTCAACCATTTTAAAAAATCTTCTAAACAAATTATATATCTGTTAATTGTGGATTAATGTCGTAGACGTCCCCCCTCCCCTCCCCGCCTCTGACCCTCGTAAAAAGAGGAGCCTTATTGGTTTGTGGTCCGCCTTTTACTTGTGGATTGATGTGATAGGTAAAATATTTCTTTTTAATTCACTGTCGTGATGGATAGTGTCGCTTAAAGCAATAATAACGTTTTGTAATGAAGTAATATAAATAACTATACATTTGCAAAAATCATCTCAATGCACATTTGAAGAAAAATTCGACTACAAGAAGAAATAATATTTTTTGTCTAAATTTTCTCATGTTTAGCCCTTGTGTTAAACTTATTTTTTTTTAAT